GGTTTGTAAAATATTTCTAAAAAATACTGAATTGAAACCTATGTGACAAGCTAGATATAGAGCTGTATTATCGGTTTGTAAAACATTTCCAAAGAATACTGAATTGATTGAAACCTTTTTTTTAAGACTTGCTATCGCTGCTGACACTGCGAAAGCTCCTAATTCGGTAGCTTTTTTTTAACAATTGAAATATGTTAAGGTGAAAAATTATTTATAAGAATACTTTATGATTAAAATGTTAAAGAATTACCTGTAAAATTCTTTAAAAAACCACCAAATGCTGTTCCTTTTTTTTTAAGTTATCTTTTTAAGGCTGCAGTTTGCAATATAGATGCTACTTAATTAACCAAATACATACTTTTAGTGGCTATAGTATAGACGTTCTGTACCATCTTGTATTACAATACGTTAAAGAATAACGTAAAAGGTTAAAAAAAAATTCTCAAGACTAAATTATATCATGTTTCATAAAAATTAAAAAAGAACATAATGATGGACATCTATTAGTGCTGGCTAAACTTTTGTAATATCGGTAAAATTATCATGTGACAATATGTGACAATGCACGTAAAGTTACATTACAATTTCGTAAGTTACAATGTAATTTACATGAAACATAACAAAGTAATTTATGTAATACATCCCTAACTCAGGGTAGTTCATTGCTTTATTGGAAATTTTATATTATTTATTTAATAACTAAATATATATACATAATCAAGTGCACTATTGCACCATTTGCCAATACAGTACTGATAATAGATTGTTGCCATCGTCGGAATCAGAGCACAAAATTCTATTGTAAAATACCAGAAGTTCCAATTAATTAAAAACAATTCTGACAGAATTTTTTAGCAATTGGAAAACTTCCATTAGTTATCATTAGAGTATATGTAATAGATTATATTCATAATAAAAAGTGATAGTATTTGTTAATATCTTCATTACTGGAAATAATAATGTCCAATATGTACGTAATAACTTTGTTTACGTATCTATACTGACAGATTTGCTACGTAAGATAAGTTGGTAGAATCTTACAATAGAAATAAGCAACCAATCGAAACAAATTTAACCTATGCTTCTATTTCAGTATTTATTTTATCTGAACGGATCTGATATTTTTAATGCAAAAGTACTGTATCTGCTAGGGATAGGCAAATTTTTTACATAATATTTATGTATTCTTATGTATTCTTATGTATTATTATTTAAATTTTTGCTGCAATATGTAATAATGGGAAATTATATCATAATTTATTACCGTTAACGTTAATTAAATTTTCAAAATTTTCAAGAACAGATTTAAACTTAATGATTTTATTCTGTGATCTATTTCTCTTAAAAATTATGTAATAGTATCTAATAATTTACAAAATATATAAGGATTAAAAAATATATATCGGTTACATAAAAAATTACATTGCCTATCCCTAGTATCTGCCTACTTATTATCGTTATTGTCATTAATTTAAATTATTTTCATATTCATTTAATATGTACATCATTCATAAGATCAAAAAAATACGTACGTACGTATGTACAGTACAAACGTAAGATAAAAAAAATACATACATACGTAAAAAATATATCTTTTTTTTTTTGATTTAATTATTACTTCATTTTTGTTTTTTTCTTTTTTTTAGATAACATGCACAAAATTCAAAAAACATATATATAGCCCTTCACTGTTCTCAAACTCTGCTCAAAATTTTTTTTTCAAAATTTTTTATTTGCATTTTGTAAAATTTTAAAAAATTTACTATGTTGAAATAGCATAGTTAGAATGCTACCCAAACCATTATTCGAACATCTATTTAACATTATCATGTGTTTTTATGGATTTATTCGTAAAATCATGTAAATAGATGTTCGAATAACGGTTTGGGTAGCATTCTAACTATGCTATTTCAACATAGTAAATTTTTTAAAATTTTT